GTCAGTCCCTGGAGCAAGGGGCTGGGGAGGGAAATCAAGGCACAGCGGGGGGGGTTGGTCCCGTAGAGCGAGGGCTGGGGAAATCGAGGCACAGCTGGGGGGGGGGGCAGACCCTGCCCACACGGCTCCGGCAGGTACTTTGGAGCCCAGTCCGGGCGCAGCCAGGTCGGCCAGGCCGGGGCGGGAAGAGCAGCATCCGCCGAAAAGACCCACGGCTCCAGGCCCCAGCAGCAGCTGCTCTTCCCGCCCCCAGGTGGCGGAAGCCGGTTACTGCAGGTAACTGGACTTTTAACATCCCGCCAGCTGTGCTGCCAGCTTCCCTTCTCGACCAGATGTTCGGGTCGAAAACCAGCGCCCTGGGAACCCCACCCCTGTATCCGCCATCGTCTCAATACCTCACGGACGGGGCGAGTGGGGTCAGACCTGGCTGGCTGCCGTGGTCACGGCAAGAGGTTTGGAGGGGAAAGAACTTGCGAGGGACGCGATGTGCAGGGTCCTGCCTTTCACACCTGTCACCCGAGCAGGCAGGTGTGAGCTCTCGCAGGCCACCCTGAGAACAAGGGACAGCCGTGGAGACAGGCTGGCCTGGCCGGAGAACCCAGGCGAGCTCCTGGAAGAGGAGGCGCTGGGCTCAGAGCCACGCGCCTGTGCCTATCTAAGCAGCAGAAGTGGTTCTCCATTACAGGACAGACTTTGTCGGGGGAGGGGGAAGGTGTCTGGTGACCAGTGGGCCCCAGCTGCAAGGACTGGCCTGGGGGCGAGAAATCCCCTATGACAGGACAGGAACTTGCTAACAAGTGTCGACTTTTGATTGCGTCTTTTGTTTTTCGCTTGCCTGGAACCTTACGTTTCCAACCCCTTCTACTGGCTTTCATCTGAATCTCGGATGAAGCTCTGTTTGGTTTGGTTTCTCTAGAAACCTTCGGGCCTGGTGCTCAGGAGAGTGATGAACTGGGGCACTGTGTCCATGGAGGCAGCGGATCTGGGTGCACTGCAGGTGTCCAGAAGACAGGGACTGGGCCCTCGGGTATAACGAGGTGGGTGTGTAAATTGCTAGCCTGTATAAAGGAGTGGGGCTGGGGAATTTCCCTGGGAGGGGGCGCACACGGGGCTCCCTCCCACTATGAGCCGGTGGTAGCGATTCACCCCAGAAACCCTGACAAGTGCCACAACCCAGCCTAGGAATTCAGCTCCGGAGAGGCCTGGGCCAGAGAAGTGTTGTGTGTGTCCTGGGGTCCTCCAAGCCTCCCGAAGGCCCTGGTGGAGAAACACCCCTTCCCCTGAGAAGCTGGGTTACAAAAGCCATGTGGTTGCTGGAATCCACTGGGCTTGGTGGCCTGCAGCTCCCCACTCCTCCTCCCCAGGGCTCTGACTCCCTGCACGGTGAGCGCCAGGCCCTGGGGACAGACCCACGCATTCCCTGCAGGAACAGCCCTTTATTCGCCGCACAGTAAAACACTGACAAATCCAAGAGGAATGTCATACAGAAAGGGGGCGCTATCAAAATGGGGAGCGGGGAACCAGGCACGGCTGCTCCTCCCGGGGGAACAGGCTGCCTGCGGCTACAGCACCAGGTGGGTGCCCAGGTCCCAGGTGCCACCCACGCTGCCAGGAACGTCCCAGCGAAACCCCAGCCCCTGGCACTCAGCCTGTGCGTAGGTTGCTCCGGGCGCAGGCCTGCGGAGGTGCTGGTGTCATTACGACGTATCCTCTGCAGCCGCCGGCTCGTCGGCGCTGGCCAGCAGCTTGCTCAAGCACTGGTGGATGTCATCCTGGCCCCGATACACCCTCTTCATGCCCCGGGGCAGGTAGCGGCAGGACGACAGGTTGAGGTAGCTCAGGGCAGGACAGCTGATGATCAGGGCACTGTGGGGAAGCAGAAATGCCTCGAATTGCATCCCTCGGCTACCTGGGGCTTCCCCCTAGATTTAGCACGTGGGGCGGCAGATCCAGCGCGGAGCGGAGCCATGGGGGGAGGCTGAAGGAGGCAAGGGGCCGGCCCACATGCCAGTGGTGGCACAAGAGAAGGTGGGAGGCCACGTGGGAGCTGAGCAGAAGGGCCCAGCCAGGAAGAGGCGGTGCAGCGGGACAGGGGAAGAGCCAAGCAGGGCCGCAGTGCGGAAGGAGAGCGGGGCAGTGAAGGGACTCGGGGTGCGGAGGCCGGCGTAGCAGGAGAGGCTGGTTTGGGGGGAGAGGAGGCTGCAGCAGCCACGCAGAGAGTCAGTTACACACAGCAGCTCTCCGGCGAGAGGGAGGCTTTGCAGCTCAGGTCCCCGGGGGGAACGCAGCCATGGCCGGTGAGCACCAAGCCTGGCTGCCCGCAGCCCCTCTGCTGGCACTCACCTGACAGTGCTCACGGTGACCTTGGTCCCGGTCAGGTTGAGGGATCGCAGGGCTGCCCGGCTGCTGCCCTGCCCAAAGGCGGCCATGGCGCACTCCAGGTCGTGCTCGCTGAACCTCTGCCCTGCCAGATCGAGCTCCTGCAGGCTGTGGTGCCACTTCCAGGTGAGCAGATGGCTGCCCTCTGAGGGCAGGAGCAGGTGGTTATTGCTGCAGTACAGGCCCAAGTACAGCTGCTCTAGATCTGGGGTGCAGAGAGAGATACGACGTTACTCCAGATAGTTCAGGCCCAGGCACTGCGGGAGTTCCAAAGGGACCTCACAAAGCCGGGGGACGGGGCAGCAGACTGGCAGATGAAATTCAATGTGGATAAATGCAAAGTAATGCACATTGGAAAGCATCATCCCAACTCTACATATAAAATGATGGGGTCTAAATGAGCTGTTACCACTCAAGAGCGTGATCTTGGGGGGAGG